ACTCCCTCGTGGCAATTACAATCAAAGGTTTCATTTTAATGGTTAGTGAAATCATCTTCTAAACGGCCAGTTCCACCGTAAATGGATAGATATCATGATCTGTGTGTTGCTTGACCTGCGATGCCACTTAAAATTGCCTGTTTATAACGAGCACTTCCGGTTTTAATGGACAAACTTTCGTTGCCGGATAGTTTAGAAACTGGAAAAATAAGAATTAAATTTTTCTGCTGCGAAATAGTATTTTCTTCTTATTGTTATTTACTATTCAAGTATTTGTCTTCTTCCTTGGGAATTGTTACTGCTGTTTAGACGAGTTAAAATGTTAGAATTTCGACACAGAGTAACTGTGAATAATCTCGAACGTGAGTTATAAACATGAGTTATTAATGTTTAGGAAACACAATTATGTGAGACGATAGAAAAATTTTCTCCTATTATAAATATTGTAAACATCGATGTGATTTACATTTCAACTCCCTCGTGGCAATTACAATCAAAGGTTTCATTTTAATGGTTAGTGAAATCATCTTCTAAACGGCCAGTTCCACCGTAAATGGATAGAGATCATGATCTGTGTTGCTTGACCTGCGACGCCACTTAAAATTGCCTGTTTACAACGAGCACTTCCGGTTTTAATGGACAAACTTTCGTTGCCGGATAGTTTAGAAACTGGAAAAATAGGAATTAAATTTTTCTACTGCGAAATAGTATTTTCTTCTTATTGTATTTACTATTCAAGTATTTGTCTTCTTCCTTGGGAATTGTTACTGCTGTTCAGACGAGTTAAAATGTTAGAATTTCGGTACAGAATAACTGTGACTAATCTCGAACGTGAGTTATTAATGTTTAGGAAACACAGTTATGTGAGACGATAGAAAAATTTTCTCCTATTATAAATATTGTAAACATCGATGTGATTTACATTTTACACTCCCTCGTGGCAATTACAATCAAAGGTTTCATTTTAATGGTTAGTGAAATCATCTTCTAAACGGCCAGTTCCACCGTAAATGGATAGAGATCATGATCTGTGTTGCTTGACCTGCGACGCCACTTAAAATTGCCTGTTTACAACGAGCACTTCCGGTTTTAATGGACAAACTTTCGTTGCCGGATAGTTTAGAAACTGGAAAAATTGCGCGAGTCAACGTGCTATGGTTGTAAGTTATCGACGCTGTTAGTAATACGTTTTCATACATTTCTCTTACAGAGTGTCATCCTCGATCCGTTACAATATCCATACGAAATACTCGCGAAAACAAGATTTTCAAGTTTATCCTTTCGGTCGAAAACCATGAAAATTTGGGAAACTTTTCTGCCGACGAAATTACGGACGATCTAACATTGTAACGTAGAATTTGTAACTGCTGTTCCATTACAGAACAAAGTGACCACAAAACTAGTCCGGGGGAGAAAAGAAAAAAAAAAGAAAAAGAAAAGAAAAATTGCCGTTTAAAACAATCCAAAAAGCGAAGATAATAACGTACAGACATACATCAAACTTTTAAGTCACCGCTTGAAACCCTCATGAAAGTTTGTAATCCAACTTCAAAGCCAGTCTAACGTGCTCCCCCCATTTACATTCTAAACCTCCTAACTTTCTTTTTACTCCCCCTCTTTTTTTTTTTTTCTTCTTTTTTTATTTGTCATTCAAATGAAATTCCAAAGTAAATCTCGCCGTCAACGATCCTAGGCCACTGTTTCCTCGTGGCCATCATATATCCGTCAAGTTTATCCGTTCATTTATGTATTTAATCCTCCCTCCCCCCTTCCACACGAATCGATGAATTTTAAGACAAAACGTATACACCCATTAATTTACGGGGGACAACAAAAGTTCGCACAAAAATTCAGCCGTGGATGTTTCGTGAATTTTTCGTGAAAGACACGGCTCGTTTCCCTGACGATTTATACGCGATATATCAGAATGTGGGTGAGGGGGGTCAACCCGCCCGCCATATTTGAGCATGGAAAGTATTACGAGTCGTGTGCGAGAATCGCGTTTTATGTCGGTCTCGTTGTTTTCGAAAAGGCCGTGGCCGTTCGTTATCGAGACGCGTAAATTCACGAAAAAAAAAAAGAAGAAAAAAAACGGCGAAAGAATTCGAAATACCGTGGACATGTCCACTCGAAATCAATGAAACGGCCGTGTCGCTTTTGTAACGTTAATTTGTCTCGATAAATTGATAATAAGTCCCAGCCGCCATTGTCCCGCAGTCGATTAATTGCGAGAAAACGTGAAAATCGTGATTGGGAATTTGCATTCGCGTTCGCGACAAAAGTCCGCTCGCGTTCATCGTGTTTGTACCTTTTAATTGGTGGATAGTTGAATCAAAATATTTATTCGCCTGTGTTTCATCACGTCGGATAAATGTGATTCTAACGTTGGTATATAATATAAGGCAATGATAAACGTACTGAAAATGCAGAGGGCGTATTTTGTGTCGTTCGAACGGTGATTTTTGATATTGATGAGAGGAATGGAAAATTGAAAATGTCCGTTTAAAATGTTTAAATGGTTGATAATGTAATAGTAAACAAAAGTTCGTCGTATGGTGGTAATGGAGAATTGATTATAAAGTGATAGAGATAAATTCATCTCGTATTATAACGAAAATGTAAAGGATGTTTTACATTGTTTTACAGACTTTTGAAAATTGCCGAAAGAAACAAAAGATTGACAAAAAAAATCTTATCCTATTCTCTACAAAATGTGTTAAATAATTACGTACGTAGTTTGCTGAGAATACAGTAGCATTAAACTTTGTTATATATTCCAAGAACTTTGACGGTAATTTCAGATATATACAGAGAATGATAAAGAGAGTTAACTTGGTTCAGAATTGTTTCTTCCTTTGTAGCGCATTAAAGCAAATTTTATACAACGTGAAATTCTAAAAAACGGATTTTACAAATAACTTGCTATCTTTCAATAGCATAATGCACGCCTCCGTCCGAGAAGGATGTTGCATCAATATCAATTTACGGTGGTAACTTTCTTTGCAGCCAGAATATGAGATTCAAGATACCTCTGTAGGCACATCCAGTGTTTGGACGTGGCTACATCGTTCAATATCTCGTCTAATATTTTAATTTATAACTTCAATCTATTGTGCACTAATGTATAGGTCCTTGCTTTGCACGCTGTGATGAGATATTATTAAATTTTAGTTCTCCAGCCGGTGAAATGAGGAATGTAAATTTCGTTGAATTTCATACACGTCGAATTTAATAAAATATTATCGCCGCGATGTTAAATAAAGCATAATGAATTTTTTAAATGGAGGATATTTAAATTCGCGATAAAATATTAATAGAATAAAATAATATGAATACGTGTAATTGACTGGAGTGTGGCTGGAACTTGGCAACAATAAGCGTGTCATCATAAATCTAAAGTATTCGTACGATATATATGTATATATTATAGTATAATATAGTATAGTATATGTTATAGAATATTATAGTATAGTATAGTATATTATATATCATAGTATATTATGGTGTAGTATAGTATGTTATATATTATAGTATATTATATATCATAGTATATTATGGTGTAGTATAGTATGTTATATATTATAGTATATTATAGTATAGTATAGTATATTATATATTATAGTATATTATAGTATAGTATAGTATAGTATATTATATACTATACTATAGTATAGTATAGTATAGTATATTATATATAGTATATAGTATATTATAGTATATATTATAGTATAGTATAGTATATACTATAGTATAGTATAGTATCGTATATTATATATTATAGTATAGTATAGTATAGTATAGTATAGTATAGTATAGTATAGTATATATTATAGTATATTATAGTATAGTGTAGTATAGCATATCATAGTATAGTATAATATAGTATATATTATATTATAGTATAGTATAGTATAGTATAATATATTATAGTATAGTATATTATATTATAGTATAGTATAGTATAATATATTATAGTATATTACAATATAGTGTAGTATAGTATATATTATAGTATAGTGTAGTATATAACTATGCGTAAGTTACATAATAAGAATCTAGTTTCATTAAAACGCCCCGAAAAATTCGGCGCGTTTACTCAAAACTTTTAATTTTATTTCCGCGTTATCGTGACGTGCCGGAAAGAGAAACTAAACGATCGCAAATGGGAAAGAGGCGGGGAAAAAAGAAGCTAGCAAGACGTGATTGTTCGTACTCGTCTTTCTAAAATGCAATTCCACCGAAGTTCTTAACACCTAATACACACGCAAAGTGCACACACTCTTATTTTTGCCCTTTCCTACGAATATTTAGCGTGGCTTTCCTCCCATTGCTCCTTCCTCCCGAAAATTCCTTTTCCCCTCACCTTTTCAACCCGAGAAAACTTGCTGCCTTCCATTAACCGCGGATAAGCGAATTCCAGGCAATTCGGTTTCCAGCCGAAATGAATTCGTTCGTTTGGCGGTATAGCCGAAAAAAGGGGACAGGGCGGTGGGTGAAGAAGCGGAATAGAGAAAGAACAGGAACAGATAGAACGGGAACGCGGTGTCTGATCTTTCGTTCTGGTCCGTTCGTGCCAGTTTTTTACCCCCCTTTAACGAGAACCATCGGTAAAATTTCATCCGACAGATATTACGATATACCTTGTTCTTGTTCCTCTTTTTCTTTTCTCTCTCTCTCTCTCTCTCTCTCTGTCTCTGTTCTTCTTTTTCTTCTCTCATTCATTTTCTCCTTTTTTTCTTTTTGCTTTGTATCTTTGCCCGATATAGGTGATCAACTACGACAGTCCTAGGGGAGGCGTATCGGTGATCACCGAAAAGGGGGAAGTTACAACGTCGTATCTTCTGGTTCAGCGTGCCCAGCCTGCAGATAGCGGCCAGTATACTTGCCATCCGAGTAACGCTAATACAAAGACTGTTCTCGTGCACGTACTTAATGGTATGTATATATGTATGTACATATGTACATTTACAAAGAACCTTAGAAGTTTTGCAGCTTTTTCAGGCTCTCTTCTTTCAACCCTTTCGCTGCTGGCTTCATTACTGCGCTGAGGGGAGGGGAGGGGGGATTAAAATTTTCTCACTTTTTTTTTTCTACGAAGAGTGGTTAATTTAAAAGCCACTTAAACCTAAAATTCCTTTTATTTCGACGGCATCTTCATGAGATGACTGAAAATGTATCTATCGAGTTGTCGTTTGCGAAGCGTTTGCTGATATTTACGTGAAATGAAATTTTTCGATAATTTCGATATTTGCATGATTGAAATTTCAAAGACAAGAGGGGAAACGACATCAGTATCGTAACTTCTGTATGTGCAACGTTGCATTATCTTTCCACGGATATGTTTGTACTGATATTTGCGATTATTATTTTAGCCATTTCATTTTACACGTTTTTCTTTTGAACCGGAGAGTGCAATCGTAATCAGATTTATGGGGCACACCGTAACAAAAGGTTCCCTTTGCTTTTCGATTTCACGGTGCATGCAGAAAGATATTTTGCGTGGAGGAAAAGGAAGAAAGGACGGAAAAGTTACCAGGAATATGATTTATAACGCAGACGCGAACAGAAAAGAAGTTAATCGATTATTCGGTTTAATTGATTTCAATATTTGATAATCGAGCGTTTTCTAAAGTAATAAAGTATGATCAACGTGCGTGTTCAATGATCTGGAATTTTTTGAATTTCTATGGGTTTTAATTTCTCTCCTCTCTTTGACAATTGGAAATGGTTTGGATTCTGATTCTTTCGCGGTTGAAAGGAGATGTCGGCGACGCATTTGCGGTTCAATGGCTTGCTTAACTCATTCGCAACGGATGACGTACTAGTACGTGTCGAAGCTTTATTAATATTTCAACGACAATGAACGAGAATGAACGACATATATCGGTATTCATAAATTTTAGTAGCGTGCTTATGTTTCCTATTGATCGTTTATTGATTATAATAATCGAGCATTCGTTCAATTGCGTATTGCAGTGGCAAACAGACGAAGATGGTAAATAAATCAGTTGGAAATTTATAATATTACATTTTATAAATCATGTTGTATTAATTCTTCTTTTTTTATGAAAATTATTTCACTAAAAATTTCATTCAAAAATCAACATATACACATGTATGTGTATATATATATATGAAATTATTCTTTTTTTCGTGCAATATATATTACATTAACAAAAAATGCATCATTTCGTTTAATTCTTTCAGAAAGTTTGTTTAAAAATTGATTATGTAATTAATTTCAAAATTTATTTAACTTTCAATCGATTAAACGACATTTGATTTTGCGTAAGAATTCTCATTGTAATATTTACTTCTTTGAAACAAATTCTTACATTGTTCGTAGAAATGAAAATACATGTTTCTTCTTTTAGCTTTGAGGCTTTTCAACTTTTAATTTTGATTTACAGATTTTACGTAGTGGCCCTATGAGACTGTTCCGAATAGATTAAGCTGAAATTAAGGGATTAATTTATAGAGAGGAAAAAAAGAAATAGATCATTTGACGTTTAACGTTAATTATGTAATTTAATTACAGTAATTGCTTATATTCTTCGAGAAGTGGCTTTTGAAGTTTAGATTGTTGCCTGGTTTGTTACCCACGAATATAGGTTTCTGTTCTTTGTGCAGCTGCACGATAAACGGAATACCTTGTATATTTATGCGGAACAATCGGAGAATTACATTCTGCAGAAATTGCAAAACGGTCAAAGTACCTGGGACCAACGCAATTAATGTTTTAATCGTATAATGCGTTGAAACTTTTAGGACCATAAAGTTTGCCGCGTAAAATGGCCCTCCACAAGTTGAAATTGAAATTGCAAATGATCCAGATATATCAAGTATCTGAAATTGATTATAAATTAACATTGAATTCGCACGATATCCGGGAACGTTTAAAATATTTCATATCCCCTGTGAAACCACGAAAGCTTTCAAATTAGTTATTCTCTAATTGAAATTTAATCGAGGCGAATATCACATTGAAAATAATCTAGATTTCACGGCTACGGTTTCTATTGTCATATATCTTACCCATTGAATGTAATCTAGATTTCAATGCCACGGTTTCTACTGTCGTATTTCTCACCTTATTCGCATTTTTATGAAAAAAAAATCTGCACAAATGCGCACAAGTTCTCCGCACTTTCTTCTGTAATTAAAGCTAACACTGTCGCTTAATTATAATTGAAGTAACATTATCAATATTAAAGTAATATCAAATTAATTAGCTAATCCCCTGAACGCCGATATAATTATCAATTATAATCGGCGTCAATAAACTTCGGTTCGCGGTACAAGTAACAAGTTCGGTGATAAGGCAAGTAATAAAGCTCTGCGAAACAATTTTACTTACTATATATATATATATATATATATATATATATATATATATATAGTATATAATATATAATAATAAATTAATAGAAAATTTTATTTCTATAATATGAATTGAAAATCATATACTTTATCAAGTTCATTAACTATTTATTATTTTTTACTATTAAATCAGTAAAATTACTAATTATAAATAAAAAAAATAGTATAATAATTCGTTTAAATTTGCATAAGGATATTCAATTACTTGTTTTCCTAATCACGTTATAAACACGTATAAAAATATTAATAAATATTCAATAAATATAATTGGATAAAATTTTGTATTTTTTATATTATCATTAATAAAAAAGGTAAAAAAAAAAACAGAATAAAAATAGATATAAATAATATAGTTATTGCAGGGCAGCTAATTATCCTGTCCGATGTAAAATTATAAAACTTTGCAGCCGAAGTTTACAAGCCTTAAGGCTTGTCGCTTGTTTTCTTAATTAATTTAAATTATTGGTTGGTAAATTATCGCGCAAAACGGAATAGCGGTATTTTCTGCAAGGCTCTCCCCTTCGTACCGAAGACGTTACGCGATGCAATATTCACGGCGATTAGTACGGCCGTGGAGGTTAGGATTTGAAATCAATAAGGATTGTACTTACCTACGTACTTACCTACCATACTAATGGCAACCATTCGCCGGAAGTCAGGTGCTGCTATTTTCAGGTCAAGCATTGACCCGTTGAGATTCACGGGGAAAGAATGGGGGGATTACAGCGCATTTTTCACAGAATTTTTAATTAATTCTTCCTCCTTCGCCCCCTCTTACCGGGGCGAGAGTGGAGATAAAGCACTTTCGTAGCTGCCTTTACACTGAAATCTAATCCCTCGTCGAGGATCCAACTGCAAAGGACGATGTCCATCTTGCGGTCGGTGGAAAGGTCACTGGCGGTCATTTTCTCCAAAACCATCGGCCATGCACCATCTAGCTGACCGCTGTGAACGCTTCTGAAGACTTACCCTTTCGCTCTTCCTAATTCTAACTAATTCCGTGGACAGTGGCCCATCCCAGATCACTGGCGCGAGATAATTTATTATACCTCTCTGTCTTCTCTTAAGGCCAGTACCTTCTCGCGTCCCTAATGAAATTGGAACTTGAGGGGAAAAAATGTTTCCACGTTTCCTTGCGACCGGTTTCACCCGGTGGAGAAGTACATAAGTTGCGGGGATAAAAAGAGGATCGAAGAAGAGTATCAAAGGAAAGGAATATTGGCGAGAGAGGTTGATATTAAAGGAAAAGAAAAGGATACGAAAGTAGTACTAAAACTGCGGAATGAAATTTCAGCGATAAAATGTACAATGAAAGAGAATAAATAAACGAAAGCAGCATAAAGACACACCGTGGGATGAATATTCAGGAATGAAAGGAACATACACGAGCCGTTGAAACATTTGAACAATTTTTTCAAGCTACTGAAACATTTTGGCAGTTAAACGAAAGAATTTTGTGAATTGGAAAGCGTTAGTTTCTGTTTTTTCGATATTAAATTTCCTCGAAGGAGGAGGAAGAGGAGGGAAGAAGAGAGGACAAAAGATAAAATTTTTATTTTCGGGTTTTTGTTGAAAAAAAAAACTTTCGACGCGTTTAATATTAAATTACAGACATGTGATACAACGATCAGTGTTGCAGCAGTCAGGTGTGTATCAAGGAACCGGGAAATTATTTACATAATAGCGATATCATCCTTAGTGCGTATGGGATAATTATTCACAAAACATCATCATCATGGATAAAGGAAAATACATAACACAGACCCAAATTCAACTTCTACTTTTCTCGCGTACAATGCGAAAAAATTGAAATTAAAAAACCGAAATAATCCCTAACACTGCATTCTCGATTGAATTCGGCTGCTATTCGACACTCGGCAACGTCTGTTATATAGACAGAATTCAATGTATTGTACCAAAAAGTTTTTTATTAATAATTCAAGAACTAATGAAAACCAGAAAATAAAATTTTATATCTCGAATTTTCCCTCCCTCGAAATTTCATGTCGATCGGACACCTCGGTGCCTTTCGAAACTTCAGATAGAAAAAAAAAGATAGACGCGTCGACCATAAAAGCGATACAGAGACAACCGAATCAAAACTCTGACACAGCTATCTAGCCACTACATATCTGCAAAATCACACAGACAAAATCATAGACTACTTCAACAAATGGAAATTAAAAATAAACCCTGATAAAACACAAGC